TATATATATATATTTAATGTTTTTTATTTACTTTTAAGACAGAGAGAGACAGAGCATGAGTGGGGATGGGGCACAGAGAGGGAGACAAGAATTTGAAGTAGGCTCCAGGCTCTGAGCTATGAGTACAGAGCCCGATGTGGGGCTCTAACTCAGGAACTGTGAGATCACGACCTGAGCCGACGTTGGAGACCTGAGCCAATGTTGGACGCTTAACCAACTGAGCCACCCAAGGGCCCCTCCCAAACCTTTTTCTATTTGATAATGTTATGTAGAGAGATATAGAATCTATATTGGTAGAAGCAGAAAGCATGTATTAAATAAGTGGATAGAAAGTGAGAATGGGAAGAAAAAGAGAAAAAGGAAGAAAGCTAAGGACTAAGATGATGATGATAAAGTGAGTGAGTAAAGAGAGGCAAATGATGCATGATGATGTGATCAGCCTATTTTTGTAATTAGTATATAATAATTGATTTTGAATAAATCTAAAGGTCCTAATATTAAAAATAATTCACAGTCATAGCTGTATTCTCTTGAAGGTGGCTGTCCTTGAGATTGGCAGTGTTACAAAGTTCTTTGAGAAAATAGAGAAAGAACATCCTTCTGGGAACTATGAAAAGTATAGAGAAGAAATAGCAGTCCAAGAGAGATTAAATTCTATACCACTAGCTTCCATTCTTACCTTCCATACTAATTCATTCCCTACATGTCAACCACGATCATCTTTTGTACTATCTTGTACTTTGAATGGATCTTTTACCTTTGCATCATTTCATTAACATCTTACATAGAACATTTAGATGATATTTGTTTTTTTTTAATGTTTATTTTTGAGAAAGAAAGAGAGAGAGAGAGAGACAGATAGGGAGGGAATGCGAATGGGGGAGGGGCAGAGAGAGAGGGGCACAGAATCCGAAGCAGGCTTCAGGCTCTGAGCTGTCAGCCCAGAGCCCAACATGGGGCTTGAAGTCACAAACTGTGAGGTCCTGACAAGCCGAATTCGGTTGCTTAACGGACTGAATCACCCAGGCACCCCTAGAAGATATTTGTTAATTGAGTTATGCCAATCTTTTGAATGTTGACATTTCATTAGAAAGTGCCAAAAAAACACATTTGTTGATATTACCACAAATTTCATCAGAAATATCTTTAATTATTGGGAAGCTGTTAATTTCATAGTCGTAGAAGTTTTGCAGAAGTCTAATTTTCACTGGAAAACTTCAGGTATGTCTTGGGTAATGTTTTCTTTGAAGTGGCAGGCCAATTTTGTTCATTTTCTAGGAAATTTCTGCTAAGTACCTAAATTGGAATAGCCATAATTTGTCTACAGTCATTTTTTGAAGTAAAAATTGTGTTCCATGAAAAAAAGGTCTAGGTTTGGATTACACTCAAAAATCACACAAATGTTTTTTTTCCCTGAGACATAATTCTATATATATCAAAAATGCTTTATGCATTTCAATCACTACAAATTTAAACATTTGTCATACAAAATATTTTTATAAAATTTTACTCAGAGTTCAAGATTTATTGGAAGTAAGTGATACTGGCCTTAAAAAAACAAGCAAAAAACCTTGGTGTGGGTGGAGGTAACGGATGTATGACTAGTAGTGCGTTCTGATTCCATTATCTTGATCACAGTTCTGATGTGCCAATGGTTTAATTTACCCAGCCGCATTTTTGTACCATAAATGCAGATGGCAACATAGTGGGAAAGGCAGGTTCCTCATTATTACTAAAACGGTGTTGATTTTGTGGACTTCTTGGAAGGGTCTTGAGGCATCTACAGTCCACAATTCAAGAAATGCGGTGATACCAGGATGATTGGATTTAGATTATGGGAAAGGTGTTGGGGAAGGCATTTGATTTTGGGGAAGGAAATGATTTTGAAGCCAAGCAGAAGGAACAGTAGCATGTGTGAAGGCTTTCGCCTAGATGTAGTTGTTCCAGTCATCAAAGAACCACAAGACCAGTATCATAGACTATTGTGATCAAGGGGTGGGGGTGGGGAAAGTAATGCAAGACGGGGCTAGTTCACTGAGACTTTAGAACCCATTTTAAGGATTTTAGGTCTTATCCTCCAATTATATGAAAAATCACTGAAAGACTTTAAAAATTTTTTTTAGCATTTATTTTTGAGAGAGAGAGAGAGAACAAGTGGGGGAAGGGCAGAGAGAGAGGGAAGGAGAGAGAGAGAGAGAGAGAGAGAGAGAGCAGGGCAGGGGCAGAGAGAGAGGGAGACACAGAATCCGAAGCAGGCTCTAGGCTCTGAGCTGTCACGCAGAGCCTGATGCAGGGCTTGAACTCACGGACTGTGAGATCATGACCTGAGCTGAAGTCGGACACTTAACTGACTGAGCCACACAGGTACCCCAAGACTTTTTCAGCAAGGGAGTGATAGGATCTGATTTATGTTTCAAAAGGAGTAAAGGAATTTAAAAAATGATGCATTTAAGTAAGTTCTTTCCCATAATTATCATTGCTGAGTCTTTTCCTATTACTAAAACTTTAATTAAAAACCTGGAATTCAGGATGTACTTAGATAATAATTTGATTTTGATTTATATCTTTCAGAAAGCCTTTCAGTTAGGAAAAGAGAGCCAAAGGAATCTTCTTTGTGGCCACATGTCATTTAGTTCTTCAGTTAAAATATCTCCACTTGCCAGGAAACATCTTTAGAGAATTACTTGTATTCCATTATTTAGATTAAATTGTTGAATATTTATAAGGGCAGATACTAAGGTAACTTACATATTTGATGCATAGACTATAATTCTTGTAGTAAGTAATTCCACAAATGTGAATTCTCTGGAGGTATTATATATGAACTACATTCCTTTCTTTCTTTTTAAGTTTTATTTATTTATTTTGAAAGGGAGAGAGTGCAAGCAGGGGAGGGGCAGAGAGAGATAAAGAGAGAGAGAATCCCAAGAAGGACCCTCACCATCAGTGCAGAGCCTGATTCAAGGCTCAATAACATGAACTGTGAGATCATGACCTGAGCTGAAACCAAGAGTGTGTTTAATTGCAAGAATTTTGAAATTAATTGAAGGAAGGGAAAGTGACGTTGCTTCCAATGCCTGTATTACTTACTTCTCTTCAAAATATTCCTGTGGCCTTGGTGTTTATGGATCTAGCCATCTAGCAAAAAGAAAGAAAATAGTGTTTTTTATTTACATTATTAATTTGGTTGGCATGTAGCCAACAAAGAGACCCATTTTGAGATTATGCACTTTTTTTCCCTTCTTTTCATTGTCATGTAGCCTTTTTTAATTTTGGGGTTCATCACTTATAAGGGTTTTATATTGATGTGACCTAAACTTTTTTTCTGTGTTGCATATGAGTGAGTTTCTGCCAAACTAGAAGGAGTCTGTTGGGTACACAACTGGCGAATTCAGATGAGTGGGAACTCTTCCCTGTAGGTGTTACCATTTCATCCGGGTTGGGTCTGGCAAAAAAGGTGAACAAGGTAAATAAATAGTCAGGTACCAGAGGAGGCAATTAGACTTTACATGCTGACCTCTGATGTTTATTTCTGGAGTAGTGCTCCTATTTTGGTCACTGTTAGAACCTTGCTACACTTACCTAGAAACGTATCTATGTCTTGAGTTTAAATTGGTGTTTTAAAAGTCATCTCATATTTTAATTATATATGATGGATTTCCTAGAAGTCTTCTGATTTTAAATATTCTGTTCTTCTGTCTTTTCATAGAAATGCATTCCTCAGTCATAAAAATGCCTTCTTTTTCATACTTGATTCTTGGTTCATGTAATAGCCATCCTTAGGCAAGTCACCTGAGCACTCAGAGTTACCATTGTCTGTTTCCCACATTAGACTTTAATTTTAAAAACTGTGGTGATATTTATGTACTGTTAAGATAAGAGGACATACTGGTAGCTCTTTTGTTCATTTAGGATTGTAATTTGATTTGATCTTTGGTGTGTGTGTGTATGTGTGTGTAAATGGTTGTTGATTTGCTCATAGAGGTGATGACAAGAAGTGAGTATTAGTAGTGTAAGAAGAGGGGGAGGAAAGGAGATTATGATTTTAACTAGAAATGGCCTGTGGTTCAGGTCTTATGGTTTTCTGTATATGACATCTTGAGGAAGTTTTGGGACTCTAAACTGAGAATTGCTGTTTCCTTATCCACAGCATTCTTACCGTCCCCTCCTGCAGCCATAGCATGTAACATATAGCAGACAATAGGTTGTCTTAGCTGTAATTGAGTTTTATGACAATAAGTATATTGCCTAAGTACATTCCTTGACTTGCAAGTTTTTTTCCATTCTTTTTTTTTTTAGGTTTTTTTTTTTGATGTTTTATTTTTAAGAGAGAGAGAGAGAGAGAGAGAAAATGAATGAGTGGGGGAGGGGCAGAGAGAGAGGGAAACAAAGAATCTGAAGCAGGCTTCAGGCTCTGAGTTGTCAGCACACAGCCCCATGTGGGGGTCTAACTCATGAACTGCCAGATCATGACCTGAGCCAAAGTCAGACACTTAACCATCTGAGCCACCCAGGTGCCCCTACTTGCAAATTTTTGATATGAAAAAACTAGGTCATGTCTCAGTCTTTGTCCATTAATTGAGCAATGAGTAGTAATTAATTTTTTCTAGGTACATAGCTTATCATATAACCCCTTCTTTCTCATAGGTTTGGTTTCTCGAGTCTAAAAGTTTGTGTGTATGTGTGGTGGGGGGAAGTTTCATTCATATGAATCTGGGAAAACAGAGAAAATGGATAGTTTTAGAATTTAGATTGTAGGGATGTTTGAGGTAAAATGAGGGGAAGTTAATTTTACTCTTGATGTCAAGATAAAGGGATTACAAAGATTTAAGCTATAGTTTAACCCAGTTCTTTTCTTTAGCTATAGTGCAAATAACACATAATCAAATTTCTTTGTTTTTGAGAATGACTTCTACTTGAATGGGAACAGAGAAAGCTTATTATACAGAATTTTTCTCAACAAGATTCCTTTTTTCTCTGCTATGGTAGAAATGTGGAAATAACTTTATCAGAATGGTTCTTTGTAGTGATATTTTGTATGGAGTTTTATAAATTATGCTATGATGTATTTCTATTAAAATTGTGGCAGATCTTCGGAGGCAAGGTTAGAATGTGTTAGAATTTTAAGATTTTATTTAATAGCTGAAATGTTTAAATTCAGTTAATATAGCTACTGACAACCTTCTGTATCTTAGGCATTGTGAATACAGAAATGATTTTAAGCATATCAGTTGCTTTACTGTAGATCAGTAAATCAATAACTAGTATGCCTAGGTGTTGAAAATGGTTCCTTTAAAGGCCTTCCAACAAAAAGACAAAGATAAGGAATTGAATTTAATTAACTGAGAAGCAAATCATTAGTGGGCATATTAGTTTGCTAGGGATGCCGTAATAAAATACCATGAAGTAGGTGGCTGAAAACAACAGAAATTTATTTTCTCACAGTTCGGAGGCTGGAAGTCTAAGATGAAGGTGCTGGTAGAATTGGTTTCTCCTGAAGCCTGTCTCGTTGGCCTGCAGATGGCTGTCTTCTTGATGCCTCTTCACATGGTCGCCTCTCTGTGCATGTGCACCCCTGGCATCTCTTCCCCTTCTTATAAGGATACCAGTCACTGGATTCAGTCCTTACATGAACAGCCTCATTTTAACTTAATGATGTGTTAAATACCTTAGCTCCTAATATGGTTATGTTCTGAGGTACTGGGATGGAACTTCACCATAAATTTTAGGGGTGCATAATTTAGCTCATAACAGTAGGTAATGAAATCAGTCAAGAAGGAAAATGGTACCACATGTGATTTTTAAAAATTACTTGTTTTTTTCCCTTTTGTTTAATAAGGTTTGTGTAGAAGTGCAATTGTTCTGTGCTTTTTGTTGTGTATCTCCTAGCCGGAGAATTTTCATCCTTGGGCCTTCTCATCATGTGCCCCTCTCTCGATGTGCACTTTCCAGTGTGGATATATATAGGACACCTCTGTATGACCTTCGTATTGACCAAAAGAGTAAGTATATAGAAATCTTATAGCTTTTAAACAGCTAAAGAGTTTTTAAAATAAGAATTGTAAGTTAATTTAAAAAATTGAAAATGTGAATATTGTAAGTATTCTCTCAGTTTTAAAGATAAAATTGATTGCAACTTATCTGTACACAGCAAAAACAAAGAAAGGATATCTTCTGTATGCCTAAAAGATGACTAGACTTTTTTTGCCAGCCACAAAAATCTCTGTCAGGTCCACTAGTCTCCAGACTGTTAGTGGTTACATCTGTATTGAGGGCAGTACCATGTACTCACTATACCACGAGACAAGAAGTTAGTATGCACCGTAACTTGATGAAAGATCCTGGACATGTTAGTCTGCCTCTGTGTTATTACTTGCCTCATTGTAAATAGATTATGGTGATAATGCCTTTATTTCCTCTCAAATAATCTTTATGGGGGAAAAGAAATAAGATGGTACTTGTGAAACTCTGAAACAAAAGCTGAAATAAATCTCAAGTGTATTTTATTTTTAAAACATGCCTGTTACTTTGATATATTTTTTCCATAGGATTTTAGAAATCACATCTTTATTTAGTTGTATCTCACTTTATCCATTGAATGTATAAATTAAAACCTTTGACTTTATAATAGTATTTTTGGAGGAGGGGGGAGCATAATTTTAAAAATATAGAACAGTACAGAGAATAGTGTAACAAATATTCTTGTACTTACCATCCACAATTGACTCAGAATTTTTCCCTTATCTGAATTCCGTTTACTTTCCCAAAGACCATCTTCATGAACTTGCTGTGTATTCTTCCAGGGCATCAAATTACATTTTAAGTATGTTGTGTGCTTATTGTTTCTAGAAATTTTGGAACACATTCTTCTGTAGAATGAAAGAAGCCATTTGCAAAATAATCACCTCATTTTCCTATTTTTAGGCCTAATTTTTCATAGTTTGGGGTTTTCATTACCATGGAGTATTAGTAATTTGTTGTTAGAATAATTTTTATTAATGAAGCTGGAGTATAACTAGCCTTATTACTCTCTGTGATGCTCTTAGGGGACACACTTTATTTTTAATACCTTGGGGCATTCAGAAAATTTTGGTTTTAGATAGCATCCTAATGAGGGAATGGATGATTTTTAATAAGGTATAGTTTTGCAAAAAAAAAAAAAAAAAAAGAGTTATACTATCATTTGTGTCTTTCTCTGATATTGGTAAACCCATTTATAAAAATGTTGGTTCTCTTCTATGATAAAACTATTCTTACTCATTTTACATATTAAATTTCATCTTTTTTTTTGATACAATATCCAGTTTTAAGTTTGATTTATCAGAAGGGTCTGAATTACTAGATCATTTTAAGATTATTTATGGCATGATACTCTGGTGAATTTATGTTCTGGGCTGCCCCAAAGGCCTAATTTTTAATTTTGAGGAATATAGCATGCTTCCTAGGAATTTTCTGTTCCCAGTGTGGCAGGCATCTGAGGTGGGAAATAATAATCCCATAGATTTTATTGTAAAAGAAAACAAAACATAAAAACTGTATTATTAACCTCACAAGTAGGTAGATCAGTGGCTTTGCCATATTTTACTAGGAGTTCTAATCAACTATGTTTTTGTTGGCATGTGCTGATTAAAGTCAAGGAAAAGCTTAGACCCAGAGGTGATTTTAGATGTAATGAAAAGAACTGATGAAAATTTTGAATTACTATTTTAATATAACTGTGTAATATATGAAAGTGCTAAGTAGTCATTACATGTGTTATCGCTTTGTCTGGTATATAAAAAGCTACTTTTTTCTTCTTTTTTTAAGATAAAAATGAGGGAAATTATTATGTGGTACTTCTGTCTCTTGCCAAAGCGTGTAGTTTTTTGTTACTGAGTGGAGTCTCACAGAATAAGGATATACATTAATATATTTGTTTTACTATATTTTGAAATCTCTTTAGTTTACGGAGAACTATGGAAGACAGGAATGTTTGAACGCATGTCTCTGCAGACAGATGAAGACGAACACAGTATTGAAATGCATTTGCCTTATACAGCTAAAGCCATGGAAAGGTATACTGATTAATATTAGAAATCCCAGAGAAATCATAAATATTAATTTCTTTGGAATTATTTTCACTGGGTAAAATAATATTTAGGATAAGGAGATATAAAAAAAATTTTTTGTTGTTTGATGGGCGCCTGGCTGGCTCAGTTGGTAGAGCATGTGCCTCTTGATCGTGGAGTTGTGAGTCTGAGCCCCACACTGGGTGTAGAGATTACTTAAAAATAAAAAGTCCTAAAAAAGTTTTTTTTGTTCTTTGAAATGATATAAAAATTTGCGATAGATTTTCCTATTGTGGATTGAAGTTGGTTTTGACTAGTTTGCCTATAAAGGCTGACCATATGAATTGATAATGGTTGTTTTATTGGGTGATAATATTTTAAAAACCTGTGTGTGTGTGTGTGTGTGTGTGTGTGTGTGTGTGTGTGTGTGTGTGTGTATTGATCTGCCTGTTATTTTATTCATTAGACATTTATCTCAGAATAACAGTTACATTCTTTTATGCTTTAAGTAATCACACAATTTTAGATTTGGAAATTACATAGAAGGTCATTTATTTCAGTCTTATGCAAAGTACATGAATATCTTTTAAAATATGTGTGACAGATTATTATTTGGGACTCCTAAAGGTCTTCTAGTGATAGGATGTACACAAAACTACGAAGTAGAATGAGGACAAGGACAGTATCTATTTTATTCTTCACTTATATCCCAGTGCGTAGTGCAATGCCCATTACATAGTCATTAATGTATTTTGTAAAAAGAAAAATTTTTTTAAAGAGCTTTCTTTCTTCTTTTAGGGCAGTATTTAAATTAGAAAGTCTTCCTTTTGTAGGTCACATTTCTCTAATTTTTCAACTGTTTTCCTTTATATGGACTTAATATTCCGTACATAGTTTCACTAGTTCTAAATATGGTGAGATTATTCCTTCTGGATCTTGTCCCTATATTCTCTTAGTAAAATACAGGGTATATCATATATCATATAGGTATATCATATAGGTTTTCAGTAAATGTTTTTTGATTAAATGATCAATGTAGCCCGAGATCACATTAACATTATTCATGCTGATATGGCTTACATACTATTGGCTAATACACTTGTGGTCAGCTAAAACCCAAGTCTTTTTCATACAGTTAAATTGAATTATTTTCTCTCTTGTACTTTTGGGGTTTCCTTTCAACCCTCAGTTACTACTGTTTAATTTTTTCTTGTTGGTTTTAGTCTATTATGGCAGTCTTTTTGGATCATTTCCACTCTTAATTCTGTTATCAAAGTATTATTTAACTTCTCTCAGTCTTATGTTATCCACATCTATACACAGTGATAACTATGATGAATTGTATACACCTGAAGAAGTTTCCAAAAATCAGTGTGATAATAAATTATAAAGAATATAATTTTAGGTTAATTGTGTTTTACTACATTCTAATTCTTCAGAAATTGTTAAACCAATGTATGCTGTTTATTTCTCGGAATGCTAGTATAATCAGAACACTCCATTCTTCAGTTACATAGAATAAGAGAAAACTTTTATTATTTCCTGAAATGTTTGCATATATTGTTATGAAAAAATATATTTTAGACCTGGTAAATTTCAACACACTAGAACCAGTACAATTAAAGCCAACAATATCCTTAAGGAAGTTTTAACAAAATAACATTTTTTGTTGTTATTTCAAAAGTAAAATGTATAATATTGAAAATTTAGGAAAATAGGAACTTAAAATCAACAAAAATTCTTTTTAATAATTCCCCTTCTATTAAATGGTGTTAAATAACCACTATTAAATATATCATTTCTCAAGAGACCTTCCCTCTCTCCCAGATTACATTTGCATCTCTGATACTGACTAGTACCTAGAAGGTACCTAGTGCTTTTCCTTTATAGCCTTTGGTGCACTCACTGTGTATATTAGTTATGTGTTACTGCACAAGATATTGCTCCAGAACTTAGAGGCTGAAAATCACAACTATTTTATTGCTCATAATTTTTAGGTCAAGAGTTTAGGCAGGGGACACCTTGCTCTGGTCCATGAAGAGTTGACTGAGGTAACCTGAATGGGGTTAGAGGATCCAAGATGGCCTTACTGCTGGTTTTTAGTTGTTAGTTGACCTCATTTGTTCTCTAGGTAGCTGGTTCATTCATCAACCAGGGCTTTTCTCTCTTCTTGGCTTCTGTCTAGAAGGATAGCCTGGATTTGTTTACATGGTGATTTTGGTAGCAAGAGAACAAAAACAAAAGTTTCTCAGCCTGTTAAGGGCTAGGTCTGAAACTACATGGCATTATTTTTATCACAGTCTCTTTTTTATTTTTTATTTATTTATTTTTTTTCAACGTTTATTTATTTTTGGGACAGAGAGAGACAGAGCATGAACGGGGGAGGGGCAGAGAGAGAGGGAGACACAGAATCGGAAACAGGCTCCAGGCTCTGAGCCATCAGCCCAGAGCCCAACGCGGGGCTCGAACTCGTGGACCGCGAGATCGTGACCTGGCTGAAGTCGGACGCTTAACTGACTGCGCCACCCAGGCACCCCGACACAGTCTCTTTTTTAAAGCAGAACACAATGTCAGCCAAGGTTTAAAGGAAGGAGAAATAAATAGATTCCGCCTCTTTTTTTTTTTTTTTTTTTTTTTTTTTTTTAATTCTAGTTAGTTAACATATAGTATAATATTGGTTTTAGGATTAGAAATAGATGATCAATACTTTTCTTGATGAGAAAAGTAGCACGTGTATACAGGAATAGGAAGAATTGTTGGCAGCCATCTTTGCAGATGGATTACCACAGTTCTTCTGGTGGGCAATTCAGTGTTTCTCCAACATGCAGTATTCAGCCCTCTTAAGATGCCCAGAAATCTCATTCATTTATACCCTCAGGTTCAAAGTCTGTTGCCTTATGATCTGCATGAGGTTAAGATGTGGATGAGGCTTTCTGGGTACAGCTCCTCTTGATTTGGATACCTGTGAACTAAGAAGACAAGTTTTACTCCATTCCCACCCTGCCATACACTCAGTATACAATTTTGAGACAGGAACACTTAATCACAATAGAGCCTCCTAGTGGAGAGTGAAAGAATGGCAGCCTCTGACCCAAAGCATTTCTGGAATCTGATCAGGGAACAGAGAATGTTCTTTGATTATGGCTTGTTTCTGGCTTCTGGTTGCAGCTTCATAATTCCTTATTTTTCTCAGCTCTTAGCTTGCTCCTTTGGGCTCTTGGCTCTACTCACTGACTCATTTTTATTTCTCCATAAGAAATGGGCCTTGTTTACACCTAAGTAGCCATTTCAGTCAGCTTCATGTATGTGACAGTTTGAAAACCTAAAGACCTCTCACTTTTCATTTGGAACAGTGTTTGTTTTAGTCCAAACGGATAGAACTCCATTAAATACTGTGGGTTTTCTATTTATCAGTTTATAAGTGCATTCCATTAGACAAAAATTGCATCCACAGTTCTTTCAGTGACAGGACTCTCTCTACTTTGGATCCCAAGTTAGGGTTCTGTAAGGTTCTTAGAAGCCCTTTTGCCTATCTAAAAGAGTATTTAAGCCTTACCTTACTAAGTCTTTCTGTTTTGGGGGCTCATTCAGTTAACTGTCCAACTCTTGATCTCAGCTCAGGTTCTGATCTCGCAGTTTGTGAGATCTAGGCCTGCATTGGACACTGTGCTGACAGTGTGGAGCCTGCTTGGGATTCTCTCTTTCTCCTTCACTCTCTGCCCCTCTGCTGCTTACTCTCACTCTTTCTCAAAATAAGTAAACTTAAAAAAAGTCTTTTTGTGGTCTTAATAAAGGGTTTTACAGATGAATTTTTGATTTGATGATTGTGAGCCCATGATTTATTGGCAGCACTCCGAATTTGATCTTTGTCTTTATGTTGTTTCTTTGACACTCTTGTGCTATCTGTAGAGGCTAGTGATGAGAAACAGCTATTTTCCAACTTGGCAACTCCTGCTTAGAAATCTTTCGTTTAAATTCTGCATGTAACTCTTTAGCTCATGTTATTCTTTTTTTACCTTCTCACACTTGGCTATAGAGAAGCCAGTGACACTTTGAATATTTTGCCTGGAAATCTTCTTAGCTAGATCTACGTGTTCACTAGGTATATTTTTAATGTTATAAGTTACTGCTTGGAATTGTGTGTAATTATGCTAATTGTTCTGACAGTAAACAATACGGGCCCCTTTTCTCCTGGTCTTGCATAGCAGTTTCCTTACTGCTCTTCCAGTTTACTGTCTTCTTCTTGCCCTTTCAGATTCTGCCTGCCTCTTTGTCCTCAAAGCCAATGTTTTAGGTTTTCTGTTCCAGTAGTAACCTTTTTCTTTTTTCTTTTTTTCCCAACGTTTATTTTTTAATTTTTGGGACAGAGAGAGACAGGGCATGAACGGGGGAGGGGCAGAGAGAGAGGGAGACACAGAATCGGAAACAGGCTCCAGGCTCCGAGCCATCATAGCCCAGGAGCCCGACGCTCAGGGCTCAACTCCCAGACCGCGAGATCGTGACCTGGCTGAAGTCGGACGCTTAACCCGACCATGCACCAGGAGCCCCCAGTAGTAACCTTTTTAAGCACCACTGTTCGTCTCACTTACCTATTGTATATAGCATAACAAATCACCTCAAAGTGCCTTTTTTTTTTTTTTTTTTTTTTTTTTTTTTTTTTTTTTTTTTTTTTTTTTTTTGCTTATGACCGCAACTAGAAATTTGGTCAGGGGTGAGTGCTGACAGCTCGTCTCTGTTTCATCTGCTGCCAGTTGAAGCAGGCTGATGTAGGCTGAAGGCTCTAAGATGCCTTCACTTGTTGTCTGGGGCTGTGATGCTGGTTGTCTGCTGAGGCAGCTTGGTTCTCATCTTTGTGATCTCCCATCTCCACCTATTGTCACTTGCCATTCAGGGCCTCTCTCTTCCCATGGGGTCCTCTTGCAGGATAGCCTTGGACTATTATGAAGTTCATGGCAGTTCAGGGCAGCAAGAAAGCAGGCTAGAATTGTTCAGGCCTTGTAATATCT